TTTCTTTTTTTAGATTAAACTAATCACTCAATTTAATTATAGATATTTAATCCTATTCTCGTATACATGGTAAAGTCATCCACTAATTACTTTTAGTTTATTAATTTTTTTAATTTTTAAAATTTTAGAACGAAATTATTACATTTTTAATTTTTAAGAACTGATTCCATAAATATTTTATTTTTATTTTAATGAAGAGTTAACTAATTTCATTAGTATAGATGCTAAAATCTTTGTACCTTTAAATTTAGAAGTCAAAAACTGTACAGTGTAAGATAATAGATTAAAAACATCAAATATTAAGGTAAGGGCGCAGTACATACTTTAGCCCGGCATGGTCAGGTGTAACTAAATTATCAGTTAGCCAAATTTTTTATTATTAAATTCAACAACCAATAACCAAATAAAAGAGAACCAATTTTATTGGTTTCGGTTGCTTTTTAAAAATAACTACTTAGATTGGTTTTGATTTTAACCAAAAATTAATTCTACATTTTTTAATGATATTTTTAATTTATTAATTGTTATTTTATTAATTTTAATCATTAAAAAACTAACAATTAGCTACGTAAATAAATAATTAAGTTAAAAGTGATGAGAAAACTTAAAACAAATATAGAAATTATTAAAAAATTTATATAAAATATTTTTAAGTCAAATTTTTATATTGTACTTACTCTAATCATTAATTTTTCAATTTTTAAATTTAATAATCAAAACTTAAATTGTTTAATATCAGTTCAAATTGGTTTTTAGTAAAAAACCCAAAACCCAATCAAATCTAAAACATTAATTATGGCTTCAGTCGGTTTTGAAATTTTTTTTTTTTTTTTTTTTTTTTTCAGTTAGAGATTTTTCTGCCTACCCTGGCTTGTTAGGGCATCCAGACGATTGCAACACGGGAGCCACTAGGCCAGAACAGAGACAAAAGGATAAAGGGGAAGAGTGGATCTAATTTGGGTTTCTGGCCAAAAATGGGGCCTAAGACTCCACCGTCATACAAAGTTATCGAAAAGCTTTTAAAAATTTTAGGGAAGAGTATGTACAATGAAGTTCTCTTCTATTGTTCTTTCTTGAAATTTAAAGGAACTGCGACATAGTTAAATCCCTACTAGAATGTGTTCTGTAATCGGGTTTGTCTCTCTGCAAAGAAAAAGCTTGGTTACTTTTTGCAAGCACTGCAGCCTTTTTTATCCAAAGATTCCCATTTTTTTCAAAAAAATAAAATGAAAGTTTAATTTAATATTTTTTTTATTTAAATATATAAAATATGAATTAAATAAAATAATATTAATGTAACTTTTAAAGAGATTTTATGCATTAAAAATGAGATGTTCTATGCAAGAGTTACACAAATAAAAACATGAATTTATATAAAATAATATTAATTATAAATATATAACATTAAAATGACCTTTTTCATTGTTTCCTATTGCACATAATGTAAGCATGCAGGGATGGAACTATTGTAGGATGCCCTCCAAGCAAACAAATTACATAATTATTTTATTCATGTTAAAAACGAACTCTAAATTTCAAGGAACGGCATTGCTCATTTCGACTACCCTCCAGATTTTTTGGTAGGTTCACTTCCACAGTAGCACTTTTCATTTCGATTCTCTTTCTGTTCCATTTGTAAATAGTCTGTTTGGCATGTGGGTTTTCGTTGAATGCCATTGACTACCATTACACAATTAATGTCTTTATTGAAACTTGAAAGTATAGGTTTTTGGTTGAATGGGGCACATGCGTTTTTGTTGCCACTCATTACTAGGCTTATCAGTCCCTAAACTCATAGTTTGTGGATTATATGCCTTTAAACTTCTTTTTTTTTCTCTCGTAGAAAATGAACCCTTAAAGGCATAATTGATAAACAAGGAAGGCTATAAAATCGAAAGAAATTGAAAAAGACAATTTTGACAAATTATTGGATTCTAATCTCAATGATACAAGACAATGAAAAACTCGAATGCAGAATGGCAACAGAAGATATCATGCAAGATAGCAAGACGTTTTAACTTTCCTATGCAGAAGCCTGGAGTCCAATCTCCTAAAATACTTCTATGACAGTGATCATTGAATACATTTTTTTCCCTTCCAATACCTTCGAAGTCAGTATACGACTGAATTGTTTTCAAGCAATCTATGAACTTGCTTTTACTGAACCCTGCCGTCACAGCTACTCAAATGTACTTCCTACATCTCAAATTATCTGTCCCTATAATTTACTTGTATATAATTTTAGATAGTACTTTTGTATAGCATATGAATGGTAACTAAAAATATTTTTTGATCAAATAAAATTACTAAAAAAGAATTGAAACAAAAAATTTTTTGATTGTCATTCATATCCTATATAAAAGCAATACCTAAAGTTATATGCAAGTTAGTTGTGGTAACAGATAATTTGAGAGGGGCAAAGGAAGTACTTGAATAAAATATTTAACTGGAACTGCTGCAACCAACTTTTCTTTCATTAAGTCCCAAATGAAGTTTGATGTTCTCTAATAAGCACGAGGGAACGCAGGTCAGATATTCAATTAGGTTCACACAAAACACCACTCATCTTCTCATTTGACCCTCCTAATGATCCTCTCTATACTCTGGATTCTCTCTTACGATAACGAAGCCTTCTAGAATAGGTGAGAGCGGAATATACCTGCAAAACTCACAATTTTAGTACCTGCCATCCAGCTAATTAGCACCAATCCCAAGGTCAATATGTATAAAAGAAACTTACTTCTCAGTAGCTAATTCTGCTCTATCACCAGCAGCAAGAAGAACGGGCGTGGAGTGTGTCTGGAAACCAGTGATTGTCTTTGGACGGCCTGCCTGACCAACAACATCAACAGCCTGACCCACCCGCACTGGGACTGAAAGAGGTTTGAGATTCTCGTCCACCGTCATCAGCATCCTTGGCTGTTGCAAGAAAATAAAAAATATTAACCAATGAGAGAATAACATGGAGACAAATGGAAGTCTCCTTTATTATTTTTTTTCCTTTAAAGAATAATTATCTGACGGATAAAAACCTGCATTGCCAGAACAAGGAAGTAGAGGACGTAATGATATTTTCCCAGAATGAGAGCTTTCATATCAAGACATGTGTGCAGCATGGTTATCAAACCAGCAAATGCAATCCTGCATGGAATGAACTTTTAA